CGCTACAGCGGCAAAACATTATCAGCTAAACCATGATCGGCTGCGAAATCTTTCCTCTTCCGTGAAAATTCCGCCGCTTCTATTTCGCATTTCATCCGGCCGAATAACAGTTTTACCAATGTTGCGAGGAAGAAAACGCACTCGTTCGACGGAACGTCTAACAAATTTCGATCGCCCGACTTCCGTACCGGACACTCGCAACAACTCGTCGTGGATCTACGCGCCGTCGCGGTTCACCATTCGAAGGACGATTTCTATGCACCGTGCGTGCACCGTTGACTCCCCGAAGCGTTTCATCCTCTTCCGTCGCCCGATCGCGCACCGACCGGCCGGAAGTCGTTGTTACCGCTTAAGTGTCTTTTCGAATCCTCGCGCCGGAAGTCCGACGCGGATTCCCGAGCGAGGCCGTAGAAGAAAGAAGGATCGAGCGAGAGACGCAGTGCGACTCCGACGCGCGGAAAGTAGTTCTCGCCGAGCTATTTCGGTCAGGAACGACGGCCTTTGTGTCCTCGATCGGTCGTCGACGAGGCTTCGACTTCGGCCGAGTCCTCATTGTCGAACGATGAATAACTCGGGTCCCCTGAATCATGCGCCTCTTCTTCTGCGGCGAAGAGCACGGGGGCAGACAAGTGCCGAAAAATTTTCGCGATGTCGGCCGCGCATAATGCGCGGACCGTTGAGGCCCCGAAAAACAATAGCATTTGCATCATAAGTAAACGCGACGCGTTCCCGCTCGCTTGACCCGAATCTCGGGTATCCGCTACGACCACCGTGTCGCCCCCTCCCCGCGCGCGCGCTCCTAACGAGCGAGCGAGAATCTGCAAATTAGTGCACCGGGTCCTTAACGGAGCGAAACCAAGTAAGAACCAGAGAGAGAGAGAGAGAGAAAGAGAAGGAGACGAGAGACTCAGGTCGAGTCGGCCGCGTTAATATTCATACGTGACGCGCCACGATTTTCGCCCTGCCTCTTCTGCTTCACGCTTGGCCTTCGAACGACCCGGCTCTCGTTTATATGAACGTCCAGGGCGACGGACGTGGAATTCGGACGCCACCCGAGAATAACATGTGACCGTCCGCGAAACAGGGACGCATCCAAGCCTGAGGTCTAATCGACTGAGCACGTAGGCTGACGAATTTTCTGATTCATTTCTTTAATGTGTCTCAAAATGCGCTCGGAAATCAATTAAATTCTTTGCCCATAGAAATATAAATTCCCTGCTGTATTATCTTTTTGTTTTATTTTTACATAAAAAGAAAATTTTTCTCGTGATGTTCTAAACAGATTAATTCAATGTCCGATCTCGCCGAGGACAACAAATTCTGACGCGATCGCCCTTGCGTCTCTCAGTTTCGCGAATCACACAGAGGACCGTTCTTGCTTAGAGGTTCACGCAGGTGAGAAAAGGGGAGCCATTGACATTTAAACTCGTTTAATCAGCTGTCGCATTTCGATTACACTTTTTCCGTTTATTTCGTCCGGATACGTTTTCCAGCGTTTCTTCGAGACCGGAAGGTTTCAGATTGTTTTTCGACGACAGCGAAATTTCAGATATCGCGCGAACGATCGATTCACCACTACTCGCGCTCGAAAGAAAGAGAGAGATATATATATATATATATATATATTATCGGATTTTCGATCTTTCGTGCGTTTTCGGAGAGTGCGCGCTCGAATGCACGAAGTGCGGAAAGAAACGGAAGAGAGATCCCTGCGTTTGTTGGAAAAGAGCGCGGAGCAACGGGAGGCACGCACGGCCGTCGTTATCGTCGCGCGCGAAGGAGACGCGAGGGAGGAGGGAAGGGGAGCGACGGAGTTCGCCCCTCTCTCGATGTTACGCGGAGAATTCGAGACAGTCGTTAGTATGCTAATGAGTGTCCCTCGTTTCTCCGTCCGTGGCCGCTAAATTATTTCAAATATTTCCAAATGTCCGTCGAGGGAGGAGGTGGCTCGACTTAAGCTAGAGCTTAGAGATCGTCTCGAGCTCATCTCTCTCTCTCTCTCTCTCTCTCTGCCCGCGCTGTGTACCCGATCCCCGTGCGTGCGTGTGCGTGAAAAATCGGTCGTCCGGCCGAGCACCTTTAATCCTCGCCGCTATACTTTCGTGAACCCCCGCCCCCGCCCCTCCCGCCGGCCGCTCGATATCAGGGCCCCGATGGCGCCGTTATATATCTCGCGATAACATCGAAACCCCGTGAGAGCGGCGGCCACACGGCCGCGCTACTCCCGCTGCTATATAGTTATACAACCGGTGACGTACGCGAGACCGCGGCGATATTAATTTCCCGGACGGTATCGCATTTCGTACGATCATATCGGGCCATCCGCGCTCATTAATTAAACGCGCGAGGCGCGGGACACCGATTAATTTCACTCGCCCGCGATTGATAATAACTATATCGCGGATCGACGGACGGTCGGAGGAAGAAAAGAAAAAGAGGGGGG